AGGGCTTTACTAGCTTAATTCTACTTCGAATTCTCCCAGGAGGGCGTGGGATGTCCAAAAAGACGATTTAAAAAGTTTCGTTTTTTTTCGAGTTGGTAAAAACCTAATATATTACGAGAACTGTTAAAAAAATATTTTACGTAAGGATATAATTATTTATTTTTAAACGTATTATTATTAACTTACAAAAAAACGACCTGGCAGATGGGGCACGAATTTGGACCAAACTTTTATTGTACTTCCACACTAGAAAATATATATATATATATAATCTTTCACCCCCCCCTTCTGGTTAGTGTTGGAAGTTAAAAAAAGATTTCATTTGTAATTTGTGAATTTATTCAGTTTTGAATTAACACTCCTATTTATTGTTTAGAACTCGAAATAACCGGTGTCTCAAGATCCGGAAGGGTAAGGAAGAAGTCATCTAAATTATTGGACTTCGAATCGATTTACGAATATGACATTAGAGTCCCAAGGCAAAGAAGGGAAAAATTTGAAAATAATTTTACTGGACGTAAACAGTGAAGATCAACAGACATTTATTGTTTTTTAGAACTGACAGTTCACCCATTTATTGCTCTTCATCTTCTGAAAGAATTGTAAGGAAAAGAAGAAAGAAACATACTGGCTGTCACTTCAGTATGTTAAATATTCAAAGTTTAAAAACATATTGTATTAAATATATATAAAAGTTCTCATGATTGTAACTATTATTATTGTGTAATGATTGTTGATTTGTATGTACAAACATCTTTCAATGTGCATGTTCTTTATTAACATTTTATTCTAATGGTGACAGATCTTTAAGCATGATATAGCCTTCGTTGAATTAATAAGTAAATTTATATACTAAAAGTATTTTATTTTTTTAACCTTTATTATTTTCCCCCACTAGATACAATTTCTACTACAAATTTTACCATTGAATTTTGTCCAATTTAGGCCCTAGTATGCCTACTGGACCTCAGCAGTATAGAGGAACACCCCAGGGTTACCCCCAACAAAACCCTCAACAAAGTTATCCTAATGCTCAATATCCAAATCAACAACAGGTTTCTTCACCACAGGTTAGTTAAGGTTCTTAAGTAAAGAGTTTTTAAGCGATTGGATGACACTTTCCTGAATGTAACGTTTGTACAGAACTACACTGGGCCTCCAAATCAAGGGGGTCCGCCTATGGGGGCTCAAGGACAGCAAGGTGGGTACAATACAGGAGCTGGATATCCCCAGGGGCCGCCACCTCAAGGGTATGGTCCTCCACCACCCCAACAACAGGGTGGGTATGGCCCTCCACCAGGTCCTGGCCCAGCGACTAACAGTCAACCACCACCTCCACAACCACAGTCCGGTGGATACCAACCTCCTTCCCAACAAGGGTAATTTCTCTTTCATTAACGCATAAATTATACAGTCGTTAACTAGAGGGTATGAATCACATAATAAATATTATTATTTTAAGGAAAAATTAAATAGTCAACTAAGTGAATTTATGAGTCCCTGTTCTATTGTTTAAAAGACAATTTTACTTATTGTTTTGAAGGTATTCGGTCAATTCCCAACAAGGGAATTATCCATCAGGGTATGCAGGACAGCCGTATCCAACCAGTCAACCAAACACACAGGGGCAGAATTCGTATCCCGGCAATTATCCGGGTAACTATGCAAACCCAGGTACAACGACTGGCGCCCCCTCGAATACAGGAGGAGGTGGTGGCTATTCACAAGCTTCCGGGAGTTCACCGAGTCCCCAACCATCCTCAGGATACCCCCAGACGACCCATACAGCGCCATCAGCTTCGACTCAGACACAGTACCCACCTCCTAGCCCAAACCAGCCACAGGGTGGTTACCCCCCTCAAGGCTATCCTGGTTCCGGTGGCTATCCCCAATATCCACAAGGTGGTGGTCCTCCTTATCAGCAGTATCCAAGACCTCCTGCAGGGCCTCCTCCTCAACAATATCCACCTTATAACTATCAACCACCTCCCCAATGAAAAATTAACTCAGAACTCATTCACAAATTTAGTCGGTAAAATTGAGGACTGGAAAGCATGATACGGCTTATCGACCTTTTGAAGCTAGCGTATTTGATTAATTCTAATTTTATTATTTAATTGTATATATGTAGTTGCCAGTTTAAGTGTATATACTTTTTAACTCAATTTCTATTTGTGTATTTAATTTATTTATGGCCAATCAGTAAGTAATTAACACAGAGATGTGAAGCATTTGTGACACTATTTTTAATGTAGGGAATTTATTTTGTTGTGTACATGTACTTGTAATAAACTTATTTCTAAATTAATTTAACTGTTAGTTCTATCAAAAAAATTAACCCTTACTCCTTTCTTTGGTTAATCCTAAGTTTTGCAGGTATCACAAATTTGATTGCATGCTGTTTCACAAAAGAAATATCACAAACAATTAGTGTGTGCAAATTTTGGTGCCATGTATAATTACCTGCCATATAAGAGTTATTGCTACAAGTTTTTTGTTTATTAATACATAAAATATACTATATTTCCCCCATTTTATCAACCACAATTATACTTATAGTTTTATCAATTATAAGATCAAAAAATGGCATATTACGTTATTGCTATTTCAATTAATTAATCTATTTCATTTCATCCAAAACCTTACAAAAAAGATTAATTAATTGAAAGAAGTAATTTGGTCAATCAGACCACTAAATATAATGGATTATTGCTAAGTTCACTAATTTCGTGGTCCGCTTGACCAATTAATTAAGGTTTTTAGTTGAGATAAAAAAGTCAATGGCACGAGCGGGATTGAAAAATGGTAAAAAGGAGGGAAAATTCAAAAGATGTGGTTGAGATGGGAAGTTGGTGTCCGAGTGGATCGAGTTCACGATAGCTCAAGTGGTAGAGCAGCGGTGTATCAAGCCGAAGATCGTGGGTTCGAATCCTGCTCGTGCCATTGACTTTTTTATCTCAACTAAAAACCTTAATTAATTGTAATTATTGCTAAGGTTGAACACCAATCTTTCAGTTAAGGGTTAAGGTGACAATTAAAATGCGTTGGACAAGTGACATTTTTTTGACAATGAGAAAACGTTTGGATGAAAAAAAGGCTGATACAACTTAACATTTTATTTTGTACATGTTAACTGATAACATGGTCATTCTAACAAAACAAAAAATTAAATCTTTGTTTATAAACAAAATCAATAGAAACTTCCAACATCAGCCAAAAAGAAAAGAACAAGAATTTGCGGATTTTATTTTATAGTGTAGGATAAAAAATAATAATATAAATGTGCGAAATTTGTTGGCACTAAATGATTCATATCTTGAATGTATATTGTCAAAAATAATACTGAAATAGAGAAATAAAAGATGCTATATAAACAATCTGTGACTACAAAATTTATATAAAAAAAAGAATGATTTTGTATATTATTATTATTTCAATAAGTCAACAATGATCATGCTCTCTCAACTTTTATATACATATATAATAAAATAATCAACAAGTTTCGGATAGTATCAAATAAGTATGGCATACAAAATTTGAAACATTTCATTTTGACAATACCATTTTTTTCTTCTTCATTTAATAACCTCCTGTTAACAAAAAAAACCAAACCCAATTATAAATAAATAAATATGTATTTATTTATTAGTAATTGATTTATTATTTATTTACAATTCTAAAAAAATACATTTCTGGTATAGAGGCCAAAAATTTATATTAAGTGGACAATAAAGATATACAAATATGTACATTTTTCTCTTTTATGTACTCTTTAAAATAATTAGAAAAATAATTAAAATTTTAATAGAGACATTTATTAGAGTGATATTTTCAAAGATAATGATCTCAAGAGAACAATTCTAATTTTTATAAATTTAACAGTGTGCGAAAAGTTTTAAAGATCTCCTTTGAAGATGCTAAATAGTTAGAATTTTGTAATTTGTTATTTTAGAACTAGTTTTAAGGCAGCAGCAAAATAAATATACTTTGTTAACCTAACGTGGGTATTTAAATCTCTTACTCTCTCTAAAAAATAGCTTATATAAGATGTTTTTATTTTAAATTTTTATTCTTTTTCTAAAACTATATTTTTAATTTTTAGCACTATAAAAAATATTTCACTTTTGAAAATGAAAAATCTTTCATAGCCGATTTTTTAAAGGTTCTTTATTGCACCCGTTCAACTCACAATTTTATTAGTTAAGGCCATATTATGATTCCTGTAATTACAGAGATACATTGTTTGATTTATTGTTAATGCTCAAAGCTAGTTTCTAAATAAATATGAGATTTCATTCAATAAGAAAAATTTTGACAAATCATATTAGCCAATACCCATAAATATGACCAAAATAATAACTAAATTGTATGGCAACAAAGTTTATTTATTACATATTACTTTGCAGATTTTTAAATGGGTTTTGTAAACTTGTTAACTTTATTACATTATACATTAAGCAGTGGAAGTACTCCAAATATATCACTTTCTTCTAAAAAGCCGTTCTACTCATATAAAAACAAAACAAAAAGGACTAATTCTAATAATATTGTCTTATTTTTCTTGATGTGAAATAGATTATTATATTTATCAAATAATAAATAAGAGCCAACTGCACTTATCACAATTTTTCAATATTTTTTCTCTTTATACAAGAAACACAATATACAATAATTTGTCTCTAAAATTCAATAAATATATATTTACTTTTCATTATTATTTATGTTTTTGTCTCTTTTTTTTTTTTTTTTAATTCTAACACCAAATGTAACTCTCCATATGATAAGTTCAAAGAGAAAGTTAGCCTAACATACAGCATACTGTGTTGTCAATTCTGAGAAACTACTTCATATCTACCCTATGTTGTATCCCTGCAACAAAATTGAATTTTACTATTAAACACGATTAACTAATTGTAACATTTTAAAAGAAATAATTTTTAAAATAGATTTAAAAGTTACCAAAGAACAATTATAATGCTGACCAAGGAAATATACAGTACACAGAAAAAATTATGTAAATATTTACCCTACAAGTCTAGTTACTCCTTGATATTGGCGACCCATAAGTTTATGAATGACCTCATTGACAAACATTCCAGATATTCCAGGACTAGACCGCTCAGCTACTTCAAAGGCCGTTCTAAGTTCATCTATTGCCTCTGTTTTAGAAGGTGTCCCATCTTCTCGCCGGGAATTATAATTATGCCGTCTTTTCAACTATGAAGAATTGAAATAAATTATACCGCTTTTACAAATACAAATTCATATTATTATAAACAAAGATTACTTCTCCAAGAAGAGGATGAATAAGAAATGTAAGCGTGGATGATTTGTTCGGCTCCTGTTGTTTTTCTTGCCGTTCCTGTCTACTTTTAGGTTTTCTCTCTGATTCTTTAGGAGTAGAAGACTTTTCCTGGCTACTAGGAAGGTTAGCACCTCTTGGCTGAAACAATTCAATAAAATGTAACAAATGACATTGAGGCGTGTTAAAATAGCATCAAATTAACTACTTTATGGTTTCATCCTACCTGATTGCTTTTAAAATTATTTAAGTTAGTATCTTTAGACTGTCCGTTGTGAACGCTGCTGACTTTGACATTCCGAACCATCCCTTCTTCAATTTGTTGCGGTAGAGATTTAATGCCATGGGGACTTTTGACAGTCATTATCCAAGGTTCGTCCATTTCGCTCTCCACTTTGCCAGATTCCTCACTAAAAGAAATAATCATGATGAGACAGGAGTTTAAAAAAGTACAAAAAATATCCTTACGAGTCAGAGTTTTCTGATTCTGTCTCGCTCTCTTCATTTCTCTGTGATTTCCATTTCTTATAACGATCGATTAGATCTATGAGGTATGAGTTTTTCTTTGCCTTACGAATGAAAGGGAATTTGAGCAATTCTTTCGCTGTTGGCCTCTACAAGCAAACACAAATGAATCAATACATTTTCGATGAATGTTAATTCAAAAAGCAAATTACATTTTCAGGATCTTTGTTAAGACATGACTCGACAAATTCCTTAAATTGTTTGGTGTAATTGCCTGTTAACTGCGGGGGATTATTTTTTGGTATAAGAAACAATACCCTCATCGGGTGTAATTCAGAATTGGGTGGCTCTCCTTTTGCCAATTCAATAGCTGTGATACCAAGAGACCAAATATCAGCCTACAATTAAAAAAAAAAAAATTAATTAACAACTAAAAGCATTAATTTTTTTACCACACAACATGCACTTTTTGTTATTTGTTATTCAAAAGCTGCAAAAACCTGTGAATTTGCAACCGACTGGTACATAAATATAGTATTATAAAAATCATTTCATTTTGAATTTTGTACGGGTAATAGTTTAACTGTTTCTGAACATCCTGGTCAGCCTACTCCATCTACTTTGATCTGTCAGACATGTTTCTTTCAGCTTCTCACAATCTTCAATGGTTTATGTGTTAGTGTTATTAACCTTTATCATACAAACCAACCATCAAAGCAAGGTAGACCAGGATGATAAGAAACAACTGCTGATATATTCATGCAAACATAGTGAGTAATCACAAAAAGACTAAATGTCTACAGTAACTGGCAAACACCATGAGTATCAATTAAAAAAAAATGGTATGACCTGATAACAAGTCTGGTTTGATTTTCATGGATATCTATGGTCCATATCAAAAGCTCATAAATCTTCCCACCTCAAAATACGCTCAATAAGTCACTGCTCTACCACTTGAGCTATCGTGACTTCGATCCACTCGGACACTAACTTCCCATCTCAACCCCACCTGTTTGAATTTTCCCTCCTTATTGTCATTTTTCAAATGTCGCGTAATCTATTTGATTCTCGGCGACATATGAAAAATGGCAAAAAGGAGGGAAAATTAAAAAAAGTGGGGTTGAGATGGGAAGTTAGTCTCAAGTGGGAGAGCAGCAGCGTATTTAACCGAAGTCATGGGTTTGAATCCCGCTTGTGGCACTTTTTTTCTCAACTTTTTCTTCTTTTAGAGAGAGAAGCGATTTGTCTTTTCTTCAAAAGTTCATAAATCTTCCCACCTCAAATGCATGAAACAAACATGGCAGATAATATAGATAATTATGATCCTACATAAACCACTGAATTGCATCATACAAGGCAATTTCTATGCCTCTTGTTTTCTATAATAAATTCCTGAAAAATCAATGCTCATCATAGAGCAAAAATAATACTTCTCTATCAATTTGGTTGCAGTCAACAACACCCTATAATTGACTGACATAAAAATAAAAGTAATTTATTTTTAGTCCCCTAGAGTTCCTATTGACTTTGCAGCCCAAGTTGGAGATACTGTTATTCAAATTTTAATGTATGCAGACGATATTTTGTCTAAAGTAGTCCCGTCCAAGCTATGGAACTCCATAATGGAAAGAATGTGTTTGAATAAAACAGCACAGTGCTGGAACTAAAAGAAGTTTTATTCAAACAAAGATTTTCCAGTATGCAGATGATACAGTTTTAATAGCAGATAGTATTGTTGGGCTTCAGAAAGATCTTACATTTCCTGGAATTGTATTGTGATCAGTGAAATCTCACCGTAAACCTAGCTAAATCAAAGATAATGGTGTTTGAATGGAGGCAGACCTGCCAAAGCTGAGCGGTGGTTTTTCTAAGGAGAAAGAGTTGAAGTAGTAAACCAATATAAAAAATATCTTAATGTTTTCCTAACTCTCAGATTCTCTAACCACTCATCTAAAAAAATTGAACAAGTGAAATTGTGAAAGTTGCCATGAATATAATATGGTATGAGTTTTGCCCCAGAAGTTAATCCCTGTTTTTTCAAAGTTTAAATTATTTACTTCTATGTATTTTATGCTATATGCCAGGGTTTAGCATTATGATAAAATCAAAAGGGTTTAACATTTTTTTATTAGAAAGATTTGATCACTGCCTGACTGTACACCAAACTATGTGTTATATATTGAGACAGCAGTAGGTACTATTTTTGGTTTTACAATTAGCTTGCACTTCTCGTTTAATCTCAAAGTGCTTAAAGGCTCTGTTTCTCGAATTACTGCTCTCGAGATTATTAAATCTAATTGCTCTTGGCTTTGGCATTGGAATTCAATAGCTTTTAATTTTGGTTGTAATTTTAACTTTTTTTGGGAAATCTCTCGAGTTGGCCCAAATATAAAGGAGTAACTTAAATGGTTAAGAAGCTAGCTCACTGTAACTCCCTGCTCTACAATGGCTACTTAAACTTAGTTGTGAACAAGTGTGTTTTTAAATTCTGGGAAGGAAGACGATGGAAATTGCACGTGTACGCTCTGTAACTTAAGAGTAGAGGATATTTGTCATTTTGTTGCCCAGGGTCCCATATTGTCAGAGTATTGGATCTTGTATCTAGGACAAGAGCGCTTCGAGGTCTCAGTGTTTTTACATAATTTACTGCCCAATTTTACACATCTGATAGTTCAAATAGTCATATTCATATACTACTGGCAGGCAAACCATCCATGCCGTATAAAACTTTATAAATTGTTCACTATGTTTTTTTTTCTTTGATGTAAATAAAGTGTGTTTATCTATCTATCATCTTTCTAGTGATAAAATGCAATCACGGTGGTTGAGAAACACTGGATCTGTAAATTCCCCAATGAATCAGATTGGATGAAAAAAATACAGTACATTCAACTCATCTCAATGATTGAATTTGCAAACAAAGCAATGCACTTTGTTGTATGTTAGATATTTACTGTAAAAAATAAAACTATAAAAAGAACAACATTAAGTTCTGAAAAATGTAATGGCTAAATAAGCATGGGTTGTCAAAAAACAGCTTCTTTATCAGCTCAGGTAGGTCTCAACTCTGGGCATGCACTCACAAAATCGATTGAGTTCGTGGTCCGATTGACTGAATAACTTTTTTTAATTAATTAATCTTTATGTAAGGTATTGGTAGAGATAAAAAAGTCAGTGTCACGAGCGGGATTCGAACCCACGACCATCTCAACCAATACCTTACATAAAGATTAATTAATTGAAAAAAGTTATTCGGTCAATCGGACCACGAAGTCTAATGGATTTAATCAGTAGAATGAAGTATATCTTCACTAAAGCTCTCCATCGCTATTTCATTTGACACTGAGGATTGAATAGATTACACGACATTTGAAAAATGGCAAAAAGGAGGGAAAATTTGAATGGTGGGGTTGAGATGGTAGGTTAGTGCCCGAGTGGATCAAAGTCACGACAGCTCAAGTGGTAGAGCAAAGGTGTATTTAGCTGAAGGTCGTGGGTTCAAATCCCGCTCATGACACTGACTTTTGTATCTCAAGCAATACCTTAGATTAATTTATTAAAAATAGTGTAATGATAAGGATGACAATACCCTTGGTTGTAGAAATAAAAATACCGCAATCTCAAGATGATCTAATTAATCAAAGACAAAAGACATTGTATGATGCCAATCACCTAACCAGGTAAATCTAATGTCTTAAAACCAAACAGGCTTGACATAAGTCAATTACTTTGATAACAAAAATAATGATTTAATGTTGAAGTTGTATTGTAATAAAATTTATTAATTAATCTCCCCAGCCAGAATGTTAATAATGTTTAAACAAAATACTGATTAAATTAAACCATAGAGAATAATAGTCAACTTACTTTGGAATCATACGCAGATTGTTTAATAACCTCTGGTGCCATCCAAAAAGGCGTCCCTACAAATGTATTCCTCTTACTAGTTGTGTTGGTCAACTGGCCCGCTACTCCAAAGTCAGCCAATTTGACATCACCCATTTCACTTAATAGTACGTTGGCAGCTTTTATATCTCTATGTAGTTTCCTTTCACTATGAAGGTAGTCAAGCCCTTTTAGCACCTCCCTCAGAATAATCGCAATGTGCATTTCTTCAAAGTTCCCCGGCTTCATTAAGTCTAACGCCGATCCTCCACCAAGGTACTCCATTATGATCCATAGCTTTGTGCCCTATAGTAAGTAAGAAATTATTGCCTGTTCATAATTTTTCAATGTTAATTATCTTACTTTGAGGTAGGATCCGAAGTATTTTGTGACAAATGGGCTATCACATTGAGAAAGCACCATGATTTCTTGTTGGATGTCTTCAATTTCATCTTCCGCCTCCTCCAAATCGATTATTTTAATGGCGACAACTTGCTGACTTCTGTTGTCTACCCCTTTAAACACCTCACCGAACGATCCCTTTCCAATCTTCTCCTGCTTCGTGAAAATTTGTTCGGGATCAACCTTCTACAATAAAAAAGCAAACAAAAAACAATTACAATACTAAACATGAATGTGGAAACAGTGTAAGCAATAAGAATGTGTTGTGCACTATGAAAAAAAAGCTTATTATAATAATTATTATTTATATGTGTGTGTGGAAGCAAACTTCAGTGCTATTTTTAATGTCTATACATTTATATACGATTACTATTATATGATGTATTCTCCACATTTTTTCCACAGAGTTATTTCAACTATGAGGTTATATTAACCCCCAGGGTGGTTCTGAAAATAGCCTTGGCTAAGTATGTTGGCTTCAAATCTTGGAACCTTAATAGTTATGAGTCCTTATGTGCATGCTCTTTACTGTTGTGGCCACCGATGTCCACTGTGGATATCTTTACTAACATTTTTATGGTCTAATATTTTTCTTAACTGTAGTACTTCAAATTCAAAAAATACAGAATAATTTAATCCAACACTTGATACAAAGAAAATATGAAGTAACCAGAAAATTTAAGAGAGTATAGGTAGCTGGAGCATGAAACAATTCCTTAAGGAATGGAATATGTCCCCCGGATGCAGGCGATCGAAGGAGTTTCTGAAGGAAATCAAACCTAAAGAAACGAAATGGCTACTCTCTAACTCTAGGAGGGGAATAAGGAGGCTGATAGGTATCCTAACGGGCCATTGCCCCTTGAGAAGACACCTCTTCATAATGGGTACTCTACCAGACCCCTTCTGCCGCTTCTGCGAAACAAAAGAAGAAACGGCTCGACACTACCTCGCAGAATGCGATAGGTATGCTAGGGAAAGATTTAATACTTTCGAAGGAGAGGACATAACCAAAACACTCCCCAGGATAAAATGGTCCACAATCATGGGGTTTGTGAATAGGTCCAAAAGGTTTATGCAGGACTCGTGAGCCGACCAGGTCCCGGACCTTTTAGGGATGGGGTACGGGCCTACTCAGGCTTTTAACCCCTCGGTTCCTGGTCGCCCGCCCTGTGTAATATATATATAACCAGAAAATTTCTTACATTGACTTGGAAGATGTGGAAGCTCAACAAATGAGTTTCTCACAAATTGTCCAAGTAACAAGCTTCAGAGTCTAAACATTTGCCTTTCTTGGCTTTATCTGCACAAAGTAGAGACTTTTTTGACCGGATTGTCACGTGACGAAAAAAAAAAAAATCTGTATTGTTCTGTAACATCAGGATGTTGTACCATTGACTGTAACCAAATGATTAGGGATGCAAAAACCGAATATTCATTAACATAATCCCTTAGTAGGATCATAATCATGAGTAGGGTTATGGCAGAAATCCACAAGGCCAGATCATCACCGCAGAAATCTACTCAAGCTAACTGCAACACGTATCTGTTGCCCTGGCCCAGAATCAACCTGCTCTTGGGAACAAAAAGATGTAATTTTTCACCAGGACAACAAAAGATCTCACATAGCCAGAACAAAAAGGAGGTGATAATGAAGCTTAGTTGGGTAGTCCTACACACCCTCTACTCTCCAGACCTGGCCCTATCTGACTTTCACCTTTTCTTTTAGCGAGCTGAAAGTTCATTATATTAATCATTGAACAACCAAATACCCAATAATATCCCAAACCATAGTACAATTATTAAACCCTTTAAACCCACACAAACTTTTCTGGTTACCTGGTAGTTCTGACATTAAGTTAAGTTTTAAATAACTACCTAAGAAAGAATTCTTCATATTAATAAACATCAAAACAAATCGAAATTCATTGCATATAAAAATAGAATATATATACATTTACAAATTTAGAATGTAAATACATTAGAGAGAAGTAAAGTGAAAATGATGTAAGCATTTTGTAAAATTACCAACTAACGCAATATATTTTAAATAACAAATAGATGTTATGACACAAATTATCATGTGATGAAATATATAGTGTATGAGTGGGAAGTGAAGAGGAAAAGAGGTGACAATGAAGAACCATGTACTGGAAATAAAGGAGAGAAGGAACAGGACGTGCTTTTTGTCCCGTACCCTCTCCATTTCGTGTGTACCCTTTGTCCCCTTCTTCTGCTTTTTCTACAGGATTTTTCACACTAGGACCAAAGAAGATATGTGTTAAGAATTATACTTAAAAAAGGAAGAAAATCGGGTTTAGTCGTGAGAGGGAAGGGAGGACGACAGAATAGTGGACATCGCCAAATTACACAATACAATACGTTCTGTAATAAATGTACACCCAAATTATTATTATTATTATTTTTTAACAAGTAATCGAAATGAAGCAGTAACTGAACGAATTATTGTATCATTAACAATCCTCTTTTCAGCATAAAACTGCAAAAAAAATTGCGACCCTCTTTCCAGAAACGATTTCTTTCCATTCGCAAATACGTATACATCAATTCAAGTTTGTTTAGGTTTCTCGAACACAAATAAAAGTCAGTATGTTTAAAAACAATCGAATTTCGGGTCGGTACCCTTTAAGACACATACTGGTGTTTTTCTGTTTCTCTGTCAAGAGATAAGGGGGTTAAGTTTGAAAGGTAGGGTTACTGGTCAAAAATTTTGGCGTAATTATCCGATTAACTTAATATCGTATAAATTATCAATGGAAACGAAGGATAGTTAAGGAAAAAAAGAACTTTTTTCAATGGTAACAAATTTCTTCATTAGATAAAAAATTGATAGTTTTGAAATGGCCAAAAAACAGTTTACTGGTGTCCCTATTCTTAGAGGAAGTTCTCAATCATTACCTTGGCGAATATTTCAATATAGCATGCATATTTCCTTGCTAGGTTTAACTCAAAGATATCGGAACTGCTTGAGAGATAGTAGGAAGAACTCATGCTATTTCAATTTATTTTTGTTTTTGCTGTCATACGTCGATTTGGCTAAACAAATAAAGTGATATCCAAAAGAATACAGTTGAAATAATGTTTCCAGAATTTTCCTTATTTTATAACTTACTTCGGTTCTTTCCTTCGGCCGGGCCGGGAGTGTCCAGAGTTGACGCGCCCAGGGCTGGTCTGCCCAAAGCCTCCGATTTGGAAGACTGTGCATGTAAGAGCAGGCTTTGTCATGCCAGGGGAGCTTGGGATTGTGCATATGAGTCTTGGTATTCGAGCACAGCCTCGGACGACGACGACGTTTTCAACTCTTGAGGCGGAGGGCAACGACGCCCTGGGGGTGACCGTGGATAATCTGACGGCGGCATCCCCTCCAAACGATCGCGGCAATAAGAGAAGAGGGGACGACGTCGAAGGCATATCAATGACAACGATGTGACAAACATATTAGGGAATTTGTTTAAAAAAAAAGTCTAATTCCGCATGTTCGGGTCTCAATGAAACGCCGAACGCACATCCGAAAAGGTTCGGAATACCATGAAAAGACCATGCGACAAAGAACTAGACGTCGACAAGCACTAATCTACCAAATGGATGAGCATGGCAATTCACTTTCTGGAAAAGACAGTTCTACTCAAAAACTTTAGGCAGATATCCGGATTCCGAGTAATAAATATTCATCTGGCAGAAGATACGCTTTGGCGGTGGATTCACAAGCCTCCCTTACAATTCTTGTCGAGAGATTTGTTTGTAATTTCTGTCTGATGATGAGTATTTATTATTGTATAGGGTACAAATAAAATAATAATAAAAAAAGCGAAACAATCTATGTATGGCGTACGTATTACAGTCGAGATTGAAATGACTCCCTGATCACAATGTGCAGAATCATCCAGATCATTTGTCTAATCTCACTACCATGCAGTAAAATGCAGAAACTAAATCCAATGGGTATCAAGTCAGAACTGTCAGAAGTCCCGCAAGCGACACGGTTAAAACGGTCGCAGACGAAGCTGCACTGTCACTATTCTTTACATTCCCCTTAAAAGTACAAGTAATCTCGAATTTTTTTTACTGATCGGTATCCAGAAATGTAATATATAAAAAAATCAGTGTAAACGGATAACCAGTTCCCAAAAGGGTTAAATATATATTATCGCATTAACAATTACAACAGACATGTCATCTGTTCAAAAATTACCTTGTTGAACATAAAACGACTAATATATCTTGTCATATATGCATAATAAAGTACACACATAACGGTACAAAACATGCTTGGTACCGAATTTACTAAAATCTGAATATATCCCAATATCATAATTCAGCAAATACATAAAACCTACTGTGCAGGATATCCGCATCAATCTCAGCACACTCAAACGCAAAACATATTTTGACCTTCCTAATCATACATAACTTGCCAAATAAACATGTTGCCTTTTTAAAATACTAGCTTTATAAGCCGGCATTGCCCACGTAGATAATAAAAAGTGTTATTTCTCTTTTTTTGTAAATCCTGACGCCCATTATTTGTTATATGTCCATTTTATAGTCTCTAAACCCGCCCGGCACTAAAATAACAAAACAATGTGAAAATTTCATCTAAATCGGTTCAGTAGTTTTCGTTTTTACGATTAATGCACATATAAATATATATATATATATATATATATATACCATGTACTTGGTGACATATTTATCGATTAAATTGTTAAAATTGTACTTTAATTATGTTCCTGGAAATGTGTCGTGAGAGCCATCTTATAAAAGCCTCATATCAAGTTAAAAAAAAAACCAATTATCTGCTAATTAAAAATATCGCGTTTATCGAGCCATAATCTTAAATAAATTCCATCAAGAATGAGTGGACCAGAGACATGCTCAAGTATGACAGCCTATAAAAATGCGCCTTCCCAAAAAAAAGACCTTGAAGGAAAATGTTCAATTACTTATTTGTTGTTATTCAAGTTAGGTTTTTGCACACCAATAATTCTATTCTGAATATAAAGATTCTTTTCCTATTTCCTAAGGTTTTCCTATTATTCTAATGGGATATCGAATGCCATTCGCACCGTAAATGTTTGGGGTCAAACGTGATTTTTTAATCAGCTTTAGCATTAAATCCGATCCGTGTGCTATTTTGGACTTTTCCAATGTAACTAAGAAATGTATTT